CCAAGCCAAGTACCATCCATTTAGCTATCGGACGATGGATTCGTCCGGAGATAGTGGGTGCAATTGTTGATCGCTTGCGAGATCATTTTCTCCACAATTGCCTCCTGAGGTAGTGGGTCGTCTTATCGACGTTCTTAGGGAATATTATGTACCTAAGGACCCCACCCCTCCTCCGGATGATGTATTTCCGTATCCTGGTATGAAAGACTTCCTTGAGTGGTCTTTGTATCAGGGTTGGATGCGTCAGCACTTACATTACTTAAAATGGTATTGCTCTGTCGCGCTATCCGATCAGGTTAAACTGGAAGAGTTGCTAGATCAGCCCTTATATATACGTGTTTGGTTTGATTTCGTATGTCACATTGAACAGTCGCATACGATAACCATGCATTCCTTTTCATTAAGGTGTTCCAATCCCGGTTGATGACACAATATGAATTCAGTTGGATCTAGCTACCATTGTAGAAGCAGACTCAGAATCAGGTACGGAAAGAAGTGAAGGGGCTAGGCTTTCTCTCTTCTTTGGCTTGCCAATATGACAGAGATGGGCCCTTGACCCAATGTCAGGTGATTGGCTAACCGTGCCTTAATTAAAGGGTGTGTGTGTTCGACCATGACGCTCAGCTTGTTATGGCGAGCGAATCGAGAGCTAAAGCTTCAAAGCGATCAGAAAAGCGCTAACGCGACTATACCCAAACTTTAGTTGATGACTAGACTTACCTAGCGCTTACGTTCTAGCGGATTCGAGCAAAGAGAAGACAGTCTCAAAGAAGCCATTCGTAAACCTACAACTGACTTACTACTATCTTCTTAGAAGACATACTGGGAGACAGAAGGGAGGGAGGCTCTATTCAACCATTCTATCAAAGACTGGCTACCATATAAGAATAAAGAAGAGACTTATTAGCCTTACTGCTTGACCTCCTCTCTCTTAGCTAAATATGGGGTTATCGACATAGTTGTTCCCTCTTTCCCGGATGGGACTCTACTAGAGAATAGATAGCCCAATTCCTCTACCCCGCTTCTTCCCAGCAATCAAAGGGCTGCAGCAAGAAAGCTCCATAGCTAACAGCAAGAAAACGAGAATTTCTTATTTTTAGCAAGAAAACTACGCAATCAAACTAAAGCAGCAATCAAACTAAAGCAGCAATCAAACTAAAGCAGCAATCCAACTAAAGCAGCAATCAAACTAAAGCAGCAATCAAACTAAAGCAGCAATCAAACTAAAGCAGCAATCCAACTAAAGCAGCAATCAAACTAAAGCAGCAAGAAAACTAAAGCAGCAATCAAACGGCTGCAGCAAGAAAACGGCTGCGCGTGACTAACGCCTTAAACTGAGTGGGGGCTTTCGCGCTAGGGCGCCTTTATTCGTAGCGGGCTTGTTCGTACTAACGCCTTAAACTAAGTGGGGGCTTTCGCGCTAGAGCGCTCATCCGTTGCTTGTTCGTGACTAACGCCTTAAACTAAGTGGGGGCTTTCGCTAACGGGCGCTAATTCCGTTGCTTGTTCGTGACTAACGCCTTAAACTAAGTGGGGGCTTTCGCTAACGGGCGCTAATTCCGTTGCTTGTTCGTGACTAACGCCTTAAACTAAGTGGGGGCTTTCGCTAACGGGCGCTAATTCCGTTGCTTGTTCGTTCGAGCTACCGTACCCAGCAAGAAAACTCAATAGCTAACAGCAAGAAAAGGGAATAGCGTAAATAGAATAGAAGAACAAGCAAGCCTCCATACTCTCCTTAGCAGTCGAGGGCCCGCTCCTTTCGCTTACGCTCAAGCGATTGAATACCTATCCCTATCGTTCGATTTGATCGAGGTAGTTTACTTGCTTGCTTCTTCTCATTCCTACTTGCTTCTTTCCTATTTGTTACTGAACTGAAGAAAGGCACTAAGAGTGAGAATGTTAAAAGCACGCATAGACGCACTAATGCTAAGGGCTGGTGCGCATAGCCCTTTCTACTGTGGAATTAGTCCTAGGTACCTAGCCTCGATTCACGTCGCAAATAGCGGATAAGGCGCATCTGATCTTTCATCTTCAGTCCGGAAAAGAGATAGCAATAAGAGCAGAGCTGGGGATTCATCTTTATCGACTTCCAAGTTCATAACTTGGATAACATCTTTATCCGATTATGGACATCTGAGATGAGGAAACTCCCAGTGCTCCTGCTAATGCTAGTGCTACTAAGAAAGCAAAGATTCGATACGTGCAACTACTTATACTGATACTGGTACTTTTTATGCTGGATACTACCAATAGCCACATGGTGTAATAAAGTAAAGCTCTCGATAGCTTCAGTTAGTTAAATATACCGGGAAAGTAGTACTGGAACTATGCCAAGTCCGATCTTGCTTCAATAGGCTTTCTTCCTCTATGTCGGCCTGTCGAGTTCCCTATCTTTTAAGTAAGTCAAAGCAGTTCAAGCCAAAATGCTACACTCCTTGGTCTGGGATTGATCCCACTAGCCTTAGTTCTTTTCTATATATTCTATTCTTCCCCAACTGACGCACTAGAAGGAAAGACTCCATGGTTTAAGGCATGCTTATTTGCTTGTTGTCTTACTTGCCTGGGCATTCTTTATTCTAGAACCGATAGCACGTGTGTGGTATAACAGAGTATACTAGGGGGTACGAGGGTTTAGCTGCTTTCGCTCCATCAATAGAATAATCTTTCCCGGTTCCCTGTAGGGAAGAAAGTCAACTTAATCCACTTCACTTGAGCTATTGAGAAAAAGTCATTCTGTTTGCCTTATTGACTCTCCTTATCAGTAGAGCGATGGGACTCAAGAAAAGAAGCAAAGCAAGCATACCATCTTCCTTCTTCGGTTACGAGGACAAAAGGCCTTCTGTACGGGAAGAGATAGGATAAGAAAGAGATACGGATACCGATACTGAGTACTTACGCCTTAGCGCTACTGCTTGTGCGCTTACTGGAGAAAGAATCAATCTTACAGTCGAGCCTCTCCTTAGCGATCTACTTTTCTTCCCGCTATGAGGATGAATTTCTATTTGCCAACTTAAAGCAAGCATATCTGTTTCATTTCCTTCTTAAGGCCTATAACGGGGCAACTAAGTATAACGCCTTCTTTCTCAGGTCTGAATGTGTATGATTGTAAAGGGCATTAGAAGGTCAGAATGTGGAGAGTTCCTTTATGAATCTCTTTCTCTTTCTGTAAGCTTTGGTATGGAATCGCTCGAGAGATAGGGAGAGGTTCAAGGTTTGAAGACCTCGTGCTTGCCCTAGCAATCTTCACTCCTTTCCTTTCAGTCGAGTGATTTCATACCGGCTGGAGAAGAGGGACATCTGTAGTACAAGAAGGCGATTCTATTTCTTTCTTTCTAAGAACCCTCTCTCTGTTGGTCGAGTCAGGATATAGCACGATCAAATCAAACTCAGGTAAAGTCTATAGATTGAGTGAGGTTACCCAACAAGCAAGGCTAAGACAGCAGCCCGAGCTATTTCTTACGACAAGCAATTTCATTCCTCGGACTATCGGTCTCGCTACTACGTAACCTCATTGACTGAAGTTATCGACCGAGAGGTAAGATTTCTCTTTTTATATTCACTCCTTTTCTTTTACTGTGACTTGTACTAGGAAATAAGGCATTTCAAGCTCTCTGTCTGACTACAGTTACACGCACTAGTTCTGTTCAAAAGCTGTAGCTTGCAACTGTATACCAAAGCACTAAGATCTGATAACCTTAGCCCGTAGATCAAGAAAAGGGATGAAAAGGAAAGAAATTCAACCTTTGCCGATATGTGCGTTGTAGCTGTAAAATATCTTAGGAATTCTCCATCCGTCAGTTAAAGAGTTCTTTTTTCTCTCCGTAGGGGTTTACACGCTGGTTTGCTTGACTTCCCATCCAAGGACAAAGCTTAATCTCCTTTATCTAAGGACAGCGAAGGTGGTCAATTACGACACCCTCGACATAAGTCTTTTTTGGTAAACCTCCCCCTAAGTGTTGGTTAAGGGGAGCATCGGCCTGGTATACATAGCCCAACAAGGACCTTCAAGAGGGCCTTAGCGGAACAGCTTACTATAGCAGAGAGTCCGATTCACTGATTTCAGTAAAAGCAGGTGAAAAAAGGCCCTACGTTTAGTAATAAAGAGGCAAGGAGGAGCTCAATGAAGAAAGGGGACTTCTTTGGGCATTGCTTGGGCCGATGCCAAATCCAGCTCTCCTCGTCTCTGCAACTCAGCTTCTGCCCATGGCTTACGGCCTTCCAGGAAAGAAAAGAGCTTGTCCTTCTCCGACATGTCTCGGATGTCAAGCATCCGCGCCGAGAATTGCTTTGAAATCGAAAAGGTCTGTTTGAGTCGACTCTTGCTCGCAATCAACGTTCTCGGGCTGTCCAAAGCCTGCTATCGAGAAGGAAAGAAGCCTCTTAGTTCTTTCTTTCTTATTCGGGACCCTAGGCTTGCTTTAAGCTTGAACGGAGAAAGCGAGCGAAAAGGCCTTCTTCTTACCGCCTTATTAGTTTAGTATAGGACATTAATATTAAAGCGAGAAGAGAATAAATAAAATAAATATATATGTAGCAAGGTAGCTTAGGCTGATTGACAAGGTAGCTTGCTTACTTATGAGATTGAGATCAAAAAGCGATTGAGTGTTCAATTTAGATATAGACAGTGTGTAGTTAGGTCTCTTTCATTGGAACTCGAGAAGGGTTTAAGTCAAAAGTGTGCCGTGAGGGTCTAACTATAAGTAAGCTTCACTGTTCTCCTTATCATTCGAGTTACTAACAAAACTTTCCCTATGGTCGAGCAAGCTCTCGCTTCTTTGCTCCTTCTCTTTCTCTGTGAAGATAGACTGCTGTTTATTGCTTTGCGTGTCAAGTGCGAGATTGGATCAAAAATAGCGTATGAAAGGTTGTCTATCTGAGACTATCTATCTAGTACGATCGATCAAGTCATTCAGTAAAGTCGCTTCGCGTTGTCTTTATGGAATTCTATCTTTTACTTGTCGGTCTAGGTAGTGGATATTGCTCCTGAGAAATGAGTTCTTTCCAGTTTGTGCATCTTTCTTTTCCCATGTCTTTCTTGGTTGGTAAACCCAACTGGCGATTTCCGTCTTCCTGAATTGGGAGAGCAAGCAAGAAAAAGAAAGTCTCCCCTTTTGGGAGCAGAGCAGTCAAATAATGAACCAGAGCAAATGATTGTTATTGTTCTAAATCAATTCATAATGTTACATAAATTCTTCACGAATTCTTTGTTTGATGCAGCGGAACCATGGCAATTAGGGTTTCAAGACGCAGCAACACCTATGATGCAAGGAATAATAGACTTACATCACGATATCTTTTTCTTCCTCATTCTGATTTTGGTTTTCGTATCACGGATCTTGGTTCGCGCTTTATGGCATTTCAACTATCAAAAAAATCCAATCCCGCAAAGGATTGTTCATGGAACTACTATCGAGATTCTTCGGACCATATTTCCTAGTATCATCCCGATGTTCATTGCTATACCATCATTTGCTCTGTTATACTCAATGGACGAGGTAGTAGTAGATCCAGCCATTACTATCAAAGCTATTGGACATCAATGGTATCGGACTTATGAGTATTCAGACTATAACAGTTCCGATGAACAGTCACTAACTTTTGACAGTTATACGATTCCAGAAGATGATCTAGAATTGGGTCAATCACGTTTATTAGAAGTGGACAATAGAGTGGTTGTACCAGCCAAAACTCATCTACGTATTATTGTAACACCTGCTGATGTACCTCATAGTTGGGCTGTACCTTCCTTAGGTGTCAAATGTGATGCTGTACCTGGTCGTTTAAATCAGATCTCTATTTCGGTACAACGAGAAGGGGTTTACTATGGTCAGTGCAGTGAGATTTGTGGAACTAATCATGCCTTTACGCCTATTGTCGTAGAAGCTGTTCCTAGTAAAGATTATGGTTCTCGGGTATCCAATCAATTAATCCCACAAACAGGGGAAGCTTAAGCGGAAATGAAAGAGTAGGGTGAGGGGAAGCCACTAAATGGAAGGCTTCGCTCGCTCTAACGCTCGTTTAGTAGACAGCGAGTGGAGTGCATAAGCCCCTTTAGAGATAGGGGCGAGTACTACACGAGCTCGTAAGTCAAGTACTACACGAGCGAAGGAGAGCGACCTCATCTTGCTTCTGGCGAAGCTTCTAGAAGGCCCACCACTTCACTTCATAGGAGCGCTAGCGAAGCCGTATAAAGGCAAACAGCTCGTATAGCTCGCAATAGCGAGCCTACTTATAGCTTTTTTTTGTTTACTTTACCGCGGGACCTTAACAAGGAAAGTCAATAATATCATCAGTAAGAGTGGTTGCTATTGACTTCTCGAGTATGCAAGGCCTTTTTTTCGTCTTTTTCGGCCTGTTGGTACTTGTCGAATTGAAACTCGAGAATCAGAAGATTCGCCAACATTACCTATTTTTTTAGTGGATTCGGGGCAAGCCCGGGGTAAGTACGTGATTTCAAATTGCATGTTATAAGCATATGATCCTCCTTTGACTGTTAAAGTACCATCTCCGCCTTTGCTATCTATGCTTCCTGGTCGCTAGACTCATTCTTCTACTTTACTTCCAGCTACTCTGCTCTGAGCTTAAGAAAGGTTCAAAAGTAGCTTTGGTTGCCGCTAAAATAGGATGTTATTTTTTTAGTTTTGAATTCCAGAACTGGTCAATTCCCCTTCTCCTTTCGGGAACTCTCTTCTCTAGCTCTAGGGATTCCTATTCTATTTCTATTGACTCTTCGCCGTCTACAACACAAAAAGTTTTGGTAACTAACTTACAGATTGTATCTTAAATAAAAGAAACATCAACATCCTTTAAGCTAAGACTACGGAATGGGGGGAAGACTACCGATCCCGAGACAGACGACGAAGCTACATCGATTACAAAAAAATCTGAGTCAGTGGTGGCAGACCCTTTCCCGGCCCCTACAATCAAGCAACCTCACCAATGTGAATGAAAGAAAGGGCACCACATACATCTCGACTAGTTCGTGCCTGCGGAGCGAACAAAAACCTCTTTTGAATTCTGATTCCGACTCCGAAGTCCGGATATTTGGTTGCTTTGTACTCGACCCATGTGGTTCGGCTTGTTGCGCCACCTCACTTAACCAAACATATCCGAGAAGAAGTTCTACCAGATCTACAGCACTTGCTGCTTCATGCCCGGTTGCATCTGACTCTGCTGGTTCACCTTCTAAACAGGTCTCCGCACCTGAGACACATCCTTCTCCTGTTGCTTATTCTTTTTCCTATATTGTGGTGGCTTATTCAGCGAGCTGGAGCTCCTACTGTTCCCGCGCCAGCTTCCACTCTAGCTCCCTTCGGCCTCGAAGATCATCAGGTTCCATCCAACTCACTCTAGTTTCTATGTTAATTGGTTTTGTACTTCTGCATGTTGGGAATCAAAATAGAATAAGATTTTCTACTTGACTTTACTTTATAAGTGATCAACTAGGTTTTTAATCCCTCGCTTACACTCTTTTGGGCTAGGTTAAGTTGGAGGTCGTACATTTCACCAGACTGTGGGACAGACACGTCCCAAAATCCGTTCTCCCCCCTTCTTGTTATAATAGACCCAGAACCCCTGCATACTTTTTTTCTATAAGGCCTCCCTGGCTTCTTATTTAGGTTCTATCTTTTGTAGATTCAGGTCTGGAAAGTACCCTTGCCCTGCCTGATGCTGTAGCAGCTTATACGGATGCGTTGTATCGGCTCGGGCTCTTTTGATTGATTCCAAAGCCTAGGATCAAGACTTTCGTTCCTGGTTTTGGTCTGGGAGGGCTTTCCACCTCGAATTCCTGGGCAAAGCATTTTCTTTTCCAAAGAGTTTCGCGCAAGCATCCGATTCAGCACCCGACGAAGCAGACGCTAGAGCTGCTACTAGAGAATCCGCAGACGCGGAAGTCTCAGCCGAACAAAGGCAGTCGATACCACAGGAGAATCAACCAAATCCATATCATAGGAAAGCAGAAAAAGAAAAGCTCTATCCTCCGCCGATGAATAAGTAACAACAAGGGTTGGCGGTTTTAGAAAATATTAAAGAGCAGCCATAGGATGAAGCAGAGTAAGAATAAGAAAAGGAATGTTTAGGCTTTTTTGAACCAATAACAAAGAAAGTGGGTAGCAGGTGTGGTGTAGTAAAAGGGGTTTCGAAGCTTTCGAACCCTGTGAGGATTCAGCTTCCAATTGAGTCGGTGTGTTAAGTATAGACTTTCCACATACATAAATAGGAAAAACATTCGACGTTTTGTCTCTTTTTTTCCCAATGCTGCCAGAAATATAAGAAATATAAACAAGCGGCTAAGCCCCTGCTTGATAAAGCAAAACTCAAATGCGGGTAGCTCGATCGCTTCGATTGGTTTCGGTCTAATCCATGAATGTATAGGGGTCCACCTAATCTTTCCGCAGGTACGATCTAGACGACCACATTCCTGTTCGCCCGATTTGGCTAATCAATCCAATGGCTTCGCCCGTTCCAGTCCCGTTAGAGAGATCCAAAACTGGATATTCGGAGCCTATAGATCGATCCCGCGTCTATTCGTTCTCTGACCAGTTCCATATACAGGGACCATGTGCCACCAATAGCAAAACAACTGGCGGCCGAATCCAATGCCAGTCCCAGCAGTGGACTCCATTGACCGAGTATAGGCGCCATTCCGCCCGCCCGGATTTGTTGTTGGGGAGACTGAGCTTGATTGATATGATGGAAGAACCCCCGACGGCTAGGCATTTGGTCCTCCCTACCGGTGCATCAATCCAGCGCATTTAGACCTGTCCTAGCGGAATGGACAAAACCCTATCTTGGTTGGAGAAAGCCAGTCCAGAGAGTCTGGTATTTTTTTTTTAATTCAACTATAACTTGAGAACTAAAAGAAAAACCTCCCTATGAAAGCCCTGTTGATAGATTCAGGCAAGCAAATATCAGACCTAAACCCGACTAGCTTCAGTTGCCTCCCTCTCTAAGAAAGTCTTAAACTCGTTCTTTCACTCAGACTTGCTCCTGCAGTGGTAGTCATCGGTGGCATATTGCCTAGAAGCGTCATCCTCGTTGATTGGGAGAAGTTCTCGATTGGATCGGATCAGAAATCCATTTTTTGATTCGGTATGGATAAAGATCCAGTCATGAGCGATAGTTCCAAGGACAGCTGACTACCGCTAAAAGTCAGGAAAAAAAGGTTGATGGATGAAAGATAAGTGGGACTTTCAAGCAAGGCCGGCATGGGCTACGCGGGCCCCTAAGACCGTCCAAGATCTTATATCGATCTTGGTTCCGCGTATCGCGCTTTATCGGGTGAGAGCAAGCAGGCCAAAAAGATGAGAACCTGCCCACAAGATGTAGGTGCCATTTGTGGCAAAAGCGAGGAACGAGTGACCACCGCACCCTTGTCTAACGGATTGGGCTAAGAGAGGGGGAAGAGTTAGTCTTTCTGCCATCGATTACAGGCAAAGCACTTTGTGAGCATATATATCTGGTCATCCCTTTCATTTGAATTAGGAATCTAACATCCCGATCTCTTTTTCCGCCTTTCCTGTCTTTGTTAGTCTTTAACCTTCTCTTAAGTCAGCCTAACAATAAGAAAGAAAGAGGGCTTTCCCCCTGTCGACTGGCAGGACTGGTTACTTATTGCATTCCCCTCAGCTAACTTCACTCACTTGAAAGCATGAAATACGTATTCCCTATAATCTATAAAATAAGGCATTCATGAGCTTACCTGTAACCTGTAACTGGACTAACCTCGCCTTGCCCTAACTCTGCTCTGGACAGCTTCTTGCTCTCTCTATTTACTTTACTTTAAAAGCGGATTAGCCTTGACTTCTAGGGCTTGAAGCCTTCTCTTCTCGCTCATTCCCGACTAATGGCAACCTTCACCGGTATTCTTTTTTTGAACCAACTTCCATTTCAACCCTCATCAAATCCAGATACCAATCCAATGAGTTCGATCCATTAGGTTCTTCGATTTGTTCAGAAAAGAAACGAGAGACAAGAAAACATCTTTGATTACGATTAAAAAGAACAATCTCAAATAGACCAAGATCCAATTTCGGGTCATTTCTTGGTGAACATATTCTGCCATAATCTCTTCGATCCCCTCATTTATGTGCTTGACAAAAAAAGGGATTTAAATAAGAAAGCAGCGGCCGGGTAAAGAATAAAAAAGAAGATGGCTACACCATAAATTACTAGTCTAGATAGAAAGGTGGTTTGCTTCCTGACTAAAGCGTTGAATAAGCCATCTTCTTTTTTATCGAAAAAAAAGAAAAACAAATTTAGTGCTATTATCTGTGACGCGAAAGTAGCAAGCCAAGGCCATATCCAGTTATTCCTGGAATCAAAATGAATAGAATATAATATATATATGAGAAATGCCAATTTAGTTAATATAATTCGTACTTTTACTTTTTCAAAAATCTTTATTAGTGATTCCTCCGTTTTTAAACTTGATACCCAGAGAAAGATAAAAATGAACAAATTGAAAGTCAAGTAAAGGACTGAAATACGGAAAAAGACAGCGGTGCTATCACTGAGGATTCCCCCGATGATAACATTGATAAATATATAAAAAAGAGATGTTATGACTTGCTCCCACCCCGTTTTGCTTAGGAAACCCAAATGGATAACCAAGGCCCCGGCCCCTAAAAAGAGAATCTTTAGGTGAAAGCCCGTATCTGTAAAATCAAAATCACCTATGAAGAATAGAGAAAAGAGAAGGAAAAGTAAGGAAAATAAGAGTGATTTCTTAGGGGTCGAACCGGACTCTTCTTCTTTGTGGAAGAAAAAGAGGAGGAGATACAGGAAAATTATAAGAATAACCAAAGCGAACCCCCATAATGAGATCTCGGGGCAAATAAAGAAATATGCTATCAGTATGACAAAAAAGAGAAAATTGAAAGGAAAAAAGCCCCTGTATTTGACTATTAGGAATTCGACTACTAAGAACAGGAAAAAAATAGAAACAAATATGTCTTTCGATAGTTTATCGAATATAAAAATAATCAAAAAAAAGCTCAGAAAAAATGAGAAAACCGCTTGAAAGCGGCTAAGCTCATCCTTCGAGCCAAAGCAAAAATAGATAGCGGAACACTCTGCCATAATGAGTAGGATTCTGACAAAGGCTTCTTTTTGTCCATTTAGCATAAGATAAGAAAGCCAAATTATACCATAAAATAAAATAATAACT